TTTTGTTATATAGTCTGAATGCTATGTTATATTATAACAAGTTACAAAACAAAGTTGTAAAACAAATTTGTTGTACAACTTTGTTATTTAACATGTTTTGTTACATAGTTTGGAACCTACATTAACATCTTACTCTCGTATAGAGATTTTCTATCGTAATTCCGGGCTGAGCTATAAATTCAATATAGTTAAAAATTAGCTCTAGAGTGAACCAAACACACATTTTTAGATAAGAAATGGCAAAAACCATACCTACCTTTAAATAAATATCCGTTTTCTATAAGTCTAATTAGAATATTTCTTTTTAGATATGAGTATATGCAGAGTGAACCAAATGTCTAGAAAATCTTGGTCCGAATTATACTAAAACAGGAATATACCTATTTTGCAATATGAAGATTTGAAATTTGATATTTGTAACGTTGACAGATTTACCATATTTCTGATATCATTAGTCACTTTGGGATTTTAAATACAACAACCTGTATTGAAATCTCCACTTTAATACTACTTTAACCATCAGGAATATCATAAATCCTAAAAAGTTTACTACATTGCTAAATTAATGTCTACCTAATCAAGTGTTCAAAATATCATCCGTTTTTAACAGTTGCTTGTTTAATTTTATAAATTCTACTTTTCAACTATCCTCAATAAAAATTATCTGCAGCATTCAAACCGGGTGAACGAGGAGGCTATTAAATGCTACCTAATTTACTAATATATTGTCCGGGAATTGTCTGATCTAACTAACGCCGAATATATACACCAACATAAACTGGAGCTCCTTTTTGCTGAAACCATATCTCATTAAAATTGACTCAAAACTTGTTTTTCAGGGCACGTACAATTTTATTTCTTAGTAGCATTTCATAATTATCGCTTATTAAATTTCCTTTTGTAACAATCGGCCCAATTAACTGAGTACCCACTATACCCGACCATACATTTAGTTTTTGTGGTCTTTTAGTATGGTTTTCACGTATCCAGTGTGAATTTTCACTCCAATACCTTAAATTAAGACCTTAATAACGAAGTTCTCGTTAACAATTTTATTCATGATTACATCACTAAACAGTAATCTACGGTCGTAGTTATCTTCATTAAATTCTTGCAACAACTGGATTTTGTAGGATTTAAATGAATTCTTATGTAATACATGCAAGACTGAAGAATGACCCACATCATGTATTTTTGCAGCTCGGCATGAGGATGTATATGGATCTTCAACGAATATCTGCATTAAATCTAAAGTTTGATAGTAATTTCTAACAGTTTTTGGTTTACCTGTTTGAATGTCATATTTTACTCCTCCAGCTTCCTCAAAGCGCTTTCCAATGTTTTGTCCCGTCGCGTCGCCTTATGGAGATCGGAGATTCGTTTGGAAAAGTATCGTTGAACAAGTTAACTACTTAACTTTTTCTATCTATCTCTATTCATTCTTTCTATCACAAGTTTTTCTATCCCCATGGCCTCTAATCATTAAAAAGTAATTTACTCTTTTTCATGAAAAACCATCTTTGATGTAGATCTTTTAAAAACACATAAAACAACTGTCAGCTTTAGTTATTAAGACCTTCGTGACTATACAGGATGGTCCTTAAGTAATTGCACAAAAAGAAAGCGTATATTCTGCACTTTAAAATATTACAATTTAAGTCAACTTGCTTTAGTAAAATGTTGATATTAAGAAAGATACAGGGTGTTAAAGTGGAAATTTAAAATTTTATTTTTCGCTATAACTTTCACGTTTGTACATGTTTATGGACAAAAATTAACAGTTGGATACTGTTGAGTAAAAGAAATTATAATTTGATACATAATTTAATGTAGCTGATAGAGGGCGCCACATATGACACATATGTGGCATAAATTTGCGCTTAATTCTGTTTCTCTTTAAGTTAGCCCTATTTTTATTAAAAAATATTAAAGACACATTATTTTTACAAACAAAAGGTATACTTGCTAATAACTTCAAAATTCAACCGTTTTCGAGATAACCGCATTTTATAAGTCAGCTGCATAATCAATATTAGTTGTGATAATTTTGCGGCAAAGCACTGAATACCTGTGAATAAGCATAATTATTAGTTTGTTCTTATTAAAAACAACTCAAATATGATAATGTAATTACCCGAAATGATTTGTTATGGTTGCTAAATGTCTTATTGGAGAGAAGCTTCCATCTTCTTCTTTCAGTGCCGTGTTTGTATTCAGAAGTTGGCCGTCATCATGTTTACTATTCTTTATCCATCGCTTTTATAAGTTTCTATGCTGGCGTTGTATTACTTTTTCTTTGTTGTAAAATCCTGAGGTGAGCGTCAAAGAAGAAGCGCATCGAGACGGTGTCATGAGCGCTACGTGACGCTGTAGCGCTCACGCTATGGCGTGACGTTTAACGTTAGTTGTCAATAAATTCCTTTCAAACTATAATCAAATTGTATTTTAAACGCCTTATTGATTTTATATAATAATTAAATTTACTATCAAATTAATGATCGAATATCAAATACTGTATTTTGTTTATACGTTAGGTGGCGCTACTAGCAAACTTAATTTATTGAAATATTTGAATATAATATAATTTTTTTTTAATATAAAAAATAAATAATAAAGTTACATTATTAAATGTTTAAAATATTATTTAAAAAATATAGAAAACATGATATGAAACTAAGTGCCAGTCTAGAGTGTCAGCTATGGTACCTACCACGTTTTTTTAAGGTAGTTTTGATGCCAGTAGACAACCCCAATGCATTAAGGGAAATTTTATAGTAGGCTGATGTCACTAATGCTTTTGAAAACTAAAAATAAGTCTTGTTTTGTTTAATCAGTAATTTTTTGCAATATCTAGTCTATTTTTTTTCTTAAAGAAAAGCAGAAAATGCCAAGGCATAATAATTTTTCTAATATAAATATAAGAGATATGGTTGCTGTTTATTGTCAGCAACACTTTAACGGGCGAGCAGCGAAAAGGGAATATTTAAGAAGATACCCAAACAGGCTGCAACCCAATCACTAAACATTTAAACATATATTTCGAAATTTAGGCGAAAATGGTTCATTTCGTCCTAAACGTGACAACTTTAGGTCGACTAAAAATCATTACGCCTGATCAAGAAGATGAAGTAATGGTTCACGTTGACGATAATTCTCAAGTAAGTATACGACGTTTATCTTCAGCGTTAGGAATCAGCAAAACTTTAGTTTTAAAAATTCTACACCGTGAGCATTTTCACCCTTACCATTTTACACCTGTGCAAAATCTATTACCAGCAGATTTACCTCTAAGATGCAGATTTGCAAATTATATCCGAAACAGGCCAAATCTTGACAACTTTTTCGTCGAAAGAATATTATTTACGGACGAAGCTACATTCACACGCCATGGTGTCTTTAATTTAAGGGACAATCATTTTTGGGATACTAAAAATCCCCACTTTAAGAAAGAAAGGCATTTTAAACATAAATTTAAACTAAACGTATGGTGTGGAATCATTGGTAATCATTTTTTAGGGTGACGCGAGTTACCTCGTAATTTGAATGGTGAGAACTATTTATATTTTTTACAAAATGAATTTACTGATTTGTTGGATGAATTGTCATTAAACTTAAGGCAAAATATGTGGTTTATGCAAAATGGTGCACTACCACATTATACAACAGCAGTGAAAACATACTTAAATGCCAACTTTCTGGAACGTTGGATTGGTCGTGGTAGTCATTTTCCTTGGCCACCACGTAGCCCAGAATTGAATCCGTTAGTTTTTGGTGTATGGGACGCAATGAAACGTGTCTACAATAATCCCATAAACACTCGCAACCAACTTTGGGAAGAAATAAATACTGCAGCAGTTTATATTGAACCGATGATGCTATTTAATATGAGACGATCTTTTATGGAACGGATTGATAAATGTATTGAGGAAAATGGTGGATATATCGAACACTTACTTTGACAAAGAGTTTAATCTTAATTAGTTTAACTATTTCTTAATTTGGTTTGAAAAATAAAATGTTTATAACTTTAATTTAATATAAAACGCAAAATGTTTGATGTCAAATCCAATTATCCTATTATTTTGTCAAATCATATTATTAATTATCCTGTTGACATATTTATTATATTTAATATTTCGTTAGCTATTAACTTTATTAAAGATATTTTATACCAAAATTCAGAAGTATTAATGTTCTTGTCTATTTTTCTTTCGTTGCCTGGAGTAATTGCGGTAAATCAGAATTTTGCCGTTGAATTGTAAAATGCGATTATCTCGAAAACTGTTGAGTGTTATAGTTATTAACAGGTATACCTTTTTTATGTTAAAATAATGTATCTTTAATATTTTTGATAAAAATATCCATAACTTAAAGAGCAAAAAAGTTAGATGCAAATTTATGCCACATATCTGGCATATGTGGCGCCCTCTATCAGCTATATCAAAGTGTGCACCGAATTATAATTTACTATATTAAATAGTACCCAGTTGTAAATTTTTGTACATGAATGTTAACAAACATAAAAGTTATAGCGAAAAATAAAATTTAAAATTTCTACTTTAACACCCTGTATCTTTCTTAATATCAACATTTTACTTAAGCAAGTTGACTTAAATCGTAATATTTTAAAGTGCAGAATCTACACTACACATTTTGTACAATTACTTAAGGACCACCCTGTATAAAATTCCAAGCATTACATATGGTTTAACTTGTATTGAAGTGAGGATTCTAATAATAATACAACATAAAGTTACATTTAAAAACCAAAGTGACTAATGATATCAGAGAAATGGTAAATATGACATTGCAAGTATCAAATTTGAAATCTCCATATTGCAGAATAGGCACATCCCAGTTTTTGCACATTTCATACAATACATTTTAAGAGATAATTAGGTGTTTCCAGACTTTTGGTCCACTTTAATATATAAATATATATATATATTAAAAATATTACGGTATTTTCTTATTTTAAAATATTATTCTCTGCTTTATAGGCACCATGAACGGTAATGGCAACAGCAATATGCATCGTCCTCACAGCGTGGCGCATTTCACCATGTCCAAAAACACCAAACACGAACTGAACGGGAACATTCCGTCGTCTGGAAAATACCTCCAAAACGACATTACCAGATTGGCGCTCAGTCAGCCTATGCTAACACAGTCAGAGAACAGATACAGACAACATTATCATTTCGGAAGCCAGAATTGGAGGAAGCACGGCCCGCTGGATAGGCCAGATATATTTTATCAGGGAAGTCTGATGAACATTCCATCGTATAGATCCAAGTAAGTTGGTTGTGTAATATAAAGGTGTATCAATAAAAGATCTCTTCTTGAAAAATATTGCTCTGCAAAAATACTGTCCGATAAAATATTGCATCAGCATTGTTTTAATATTAATAGAAAACTGAGATGCTTTTTCTTAATTTTGAAATGCTTATTATTTTTCTATGTATACCTTATTTTAATATTCGCAACTGAAATTCACGTTCCACCATATTCGCCAAGAAATATTAGACGCCAGTCTATTTTTGTTGGGGGCAAAATATTGTCTTTATTCCTCTTGATTTACAAATTTTGTCGATTTTTCAGTGATACCTTTGATGTAACGAAGAAAATCTTTCGTATGATGATGGTCTGAGTCTTTCAGTTAAAATTGAGTGACTTAGGGTAACAGAGTAAATTGAAACCATTTGCTAAAGCCTAAGTAGGAATTTTCGAAATAGCGGTATTAGAAAAGTTATGAAACACTGTAGTTGGTTTCAACCTTGTGGTTTTTGGAATTTGTTTGGGAATTAGATGCGCTAATTTGCGCTTCCGAGTTTCAGTCTTAGGCGCGCCGCACATTCAGACGCAGGTGACGTAGGCAACGCAGCGTAGGACAGCACAGGTTTCTGTTTTCCGTACAATTACATTACCCCGCGCGAATTTAAACGCAGGGCAGGGCAGCACAGAACTATGTTTAAGAAAACCTGCCAGTGCAGTCGTCCGGACACAGATTCCTGTGCCACATGCAGAGCAGTTTGTTTGTTTCTAGTAAAATTTTGTGTGGTTATATTCGAAATGAATGAACAATTAATCGAATTGGTGAGAAGCCAGACAATTCTTTACGATACCAACGATCCCAATTATTTAAATTAAATAAGTAATTTACAAGAAGATAGTGAAGATGAAGACCCACAACAGGAAGACTCCATAGTTGATCCAGAGAGTGAAATTTTTGACGAGGTGACCAGCGACATTCGACATGATACCGAAGAAATCGAGAGTGTTAAAAATGACATTGTTAATGAGCCGTGTACGTCTGGTATTGTTATACAAAAAAATAACGAAAAAGAAAATGCCAAACGTAAGGAAACTGACGACCAATCAATCACAACCAAAGCAGCTAAAAATAAGAAACCTAAAAATGATGATATACAGGAAGTGATAAAGCAATCAATTATGCAACGTCAAAAACGGGCCGAGGAAAGAGCAGTTGAAAGGGCAGCACATAGGCCTTTGGATGATGATCTCTATCATTTTTATATGTCGATGTACAAAATAACCAAAAAAAATCCTCCTAAATTTCAACATCGTGCAAGAAATGATGTGTTTCAAGCTATATCGCAGCTCGAAGCTGCATATCTAGAAATTCATGATCTCAGTCAAGAAAACTATACTCATAGTGAACAAAGAGTTTTTACAAGTGCATATGTTAATACCCATATTCAGCAGCCCCATTACTCGTCAACACCTCTTCCATCACCAAGTTTCAGTCACAGTAGTTGACATACTAAAAATCAACATTGTAATAATCCTCTATCTCCTATTCCCAACAACTCTTTTTTATGCTCAAATGATTAGAACTCTAGAAGCACCAGTAATTATTCATCTACTACACTTACCCCCAGGTTGTCTGCTGCGACTTCTCCTCAAACCGCTGATACCGGTAGTATTCGTAATTTTGTGGAAAATTATAGAGTATAGAATTATGTTTGTTTAAAATGATATTTTTGTATTTTTTAATAAAACAAAATTAATAAAAGTAATACCTTAAAAAACAGCTAGTTTTTCTTTGGTTCCTATTGGTTTTTGGGCATTACAACCATCTGAATAAATACTGTTTTCTATTATATTATGTACTTCATCAACTTGTTTTCTGCTTAACCGAAAATATTTTAAATAACGAGACTCAGAGAATTCTGATGATAGTGCAAATTCCCCATGAGTATTTCTCTTTTTCATATAGTTCTTTTACAAAATGATTTTTTTCTCTTTGACATGTTGAATAATAAAACTGTTTCTTCAAATTCTGCGTCTGACTCTGATTCGGATCTGTCCAGAAATGACGCCATTATTTAAATTATAAAATTCTCTTTCTATGTTCATATAATATATTCGATATTCGCACCTCAAAATTTTCGAGAAGACTGCTTCCAAATATGCGCTCACACTGCGTGACACGTATATTTTCTGACCTGTGTAGCCTGCCCTGCACTGCGTTACCTGTGTCACCTGCGTCCCAATGTGTTGCTTACTTTAGATTCGAAAATGTTTAGGGATGTCTGTGCGTTGATATGATATAAACGGTCCCATATAATAGGATGTACATTACGTCTGAAAAACTCAAGAGAGTTCAAATTATTTTGCATCAAACTTCCTATTTTGTTTTTAGTAAAACTACATGGTACTTTAAGGATCTGAGGGACTAATTGAAAAAACTTCTCCAATCGAGACAAAAGATCCGCCGGCTCATGATATTTAATGCTTTTATGCTCACATTAGAGTAACTTTATTTTATGTACAGAATTGCTGGAGAGATCGGTTACTTCGTCTATGAAGTTAAATTTGCACTAGGATGCATCCGATGCTACTCAAAGAGACATTACAGAAAGCTTTTTGATATATTTTCATTGACTGATTCTTCCATTCATCTTTCTCAATCTCTCTACTTGACTTCTGTCAAACTTATGAGCTTGGCTGAGTTACAAGCATACAGCTAGCCTTACCGAGATAAATTATTTATGGTTTTTCTCATTAGGTTTTAAGTAGTTTACCACAATCAACCAGTGTATAGTTTCATAAGTCAGTTTGAAAATTGTTTTTTTCGTATAGATGTTTCAGGAAAAGAAAGATTCAATGTTGCGCGCTGGTGTTCCTTAAGAGAAAAATTGTAGAGATGAATTATTTCCACCGTAAAATAATTACTGTAAAAGTGCAAAAGGTCTAATTAGATCAAACCTCACATAATTATATGAAGACAAAAATTACATTCCAATCTAGTGATAATTATGATGGGAAAACAGCCTTTTATATGTTTTCAGTTGTCCTCTTTGGGTTACTTGCGTTTCGTTTCTGGCCGGATGTTTTAGGTCTTTAAATTCAACGCGTTTGTTGATTTTAGGGTAAGTCTTATATCGCATCCACACTCTCGTCGACGTACGCCGAAAAGAATGTTTTCTTCTTTATAAGACAAAAAAAATTCCCACACTCTTTCTTGTTACGGCACAGACCACATCGATGAAATTGGTGTTAGAGACCAGACGAATATATCTTCCATACCAACCTTACCTGCATTCGACGAGAGTGGGGATGTGATATTAAAAGTGTGAAATTACCTTCTCTTTGTTTTAACAGCCCATATATCATAATTATCACGATTTACAATTCACAATATTTTCCAAATCACGATACAATGCATAATTTACAATAAATTTATTCGTAGTATAAATAGTTACCACTTTAAAAAATTAGAAGCTTAAATCAGATAGGCACAATTTCGAATTTGTTATTTAAATTACAATTAGGCGTTTGGTATAGTAAAAGATGAATCATTGATGCATTACTCAAAAATAAAACCAAAATTGTGATAATTACAATGAAAAAACTTATCAATAACAACCTATATGTAAGAAATGAAGAAATGGAACAAGTATAAAACTAAAACTGTCTAGAATAAATATCAACAAAGAGAAATTAGTACATACGAGATATAAAAATAAAATTAGAGAAAGTCAGAAAAGCGTTAAATAAATAAACTACAAAAAATAAATACCTAGTGGTCTTTTTTGGCCTCATAGTTTATAGAGGCGCCAACGGTGAATAAATACTACATGAATAAACTAAAAGTGTTTAGGATGTGGCCAACTCCGAGAATCTTTAAAATCTCTGAGGAGATTGACAATTAAAACCAAAAACGATATATGGGATATTTTACACGTAGATATAAATACCAATTGTTACAATTTATTACGCAAGTAATGATTGGGAGCAAGCACTGCATTCACAGGAGAACAATGTCTTGGTTGAGAAATTTAGTACGCTCAGAAAATAGTATGCTAGCAGTGTTATATTTAACTCTTCCGAGGACTAAAATTGGACTGGATTCTAGCCAATCTTTATAGCGGAGAGGGCACAAAAAGTAGAAGAAGCTAATAAAAAAATGCTTGTGTTATAAAAGCTCTCTGTAAGAAAAGCAAAATAAGAAAAGCTGCTAATCGTTAATCAACAAAAAAGGCCAACAGAAAATAAGACTTTGGTATGTATCGAAAAATCACGACGTCGAAGAACACAAGTAAGACAATAAATAATAATTGTAGCATTTAGGCCAAATTCTATAAAAGAAACCGAAGAAGACAAATAGCGGTATACTAGTTACAAGCAACCCAGAATAAATATAATTAAAAGAGGCGTTAATAAAAAAAATAAGTATACATACGGCAAAATGCTTCTTACCCTTCTTAACGAAAGCATATTCGAAAAAACCATCCAACAGGTCAATATCTATTTCTAATGAAGGATATTTCTATTATAAAAATATTTTCTTTAACTCCCTTTACAATACTGAGATCCACCCCATTGAATATTTTAAATGATAACAGGGATAGATAGGATGACAATTGCTCATATCAAATGATTTTAATTTAATATTCTTCTTCTTTTGGTGCACTCCATTACTGGAGGTTTGCGATCACTATATCAAAATGTGTTCTATGCAGAACCACTGTTAGTAATTCTTGAACGTTCATGTCTGTCCAAGTTATGATATTGCGAAGCTATGACATGGCTCTTCTGCTCTGAATGTGTTGTATCCATGATATTCTGAGCATTCGGCGATAAAGCCATATTTCAATGGCTTTTAGCCGTCTGATGATATTTAATTTTTATGTCCAGAAATTAACTTTATACAGAAGGACTGACAAAACGTATCATTTAATGAATCTAATTTGGACGTCCAAGCTTAGTTTTGGGTTATAGATCATTTGCTTCCATCTATTGTACATATTCCTAGCCTGTTGATTAGGGTTTTTATTTCTATATCTTGATCCCAACATTGATCATTTAGTATTATATATATATTATATATATATATATATATATATATATATATATATATATGGTTTGAGTCTTCTTACAAACTCCTTCTGATGACGGGTAGACCCAGAAACACGTGTCAGTGAGTGGTAAGAGACTCAAATTAAATCGAAACGCAACCTTCTTCGTATATTTATCGTCCTTACTCGACGCAATGAGTACAATAATGATGGTAATTTATATGGCTAAATTGTTGGTGCATAGTGGAATATAATTATTCTCAGCACCGCCGCTCTGAATGGCTTGATTAAGCTTGGGTATACAGTTTTCTTTAATTGCTATCGAGGTAATCTTTATATATATATAATATATATAATTTATATATATATATATATATATATTTATATATATATTATATATATATTATATATATATATATAATACAGTGTGGTGAATCGTCAAACGGGCCATAGGAAACTCAGTGGGAAATTCTAAATTGTTGAATTCCTGCTTCCCTAATTATTTTACATCAAAAGTCATGAGATACTATTTGTAGAGGACTCAAATATGTATCGAAAACAACTGTTAAAATTATTCTACGACTTAAACGTATTCCAAAATGTTTGCTAAAATATAATACATTTTTCTGTGAAAAAATGTGTATTACGTGTTGCGTTTTCTCATATTATTGTTTCTGATATTTGACAATATTTAAATCAATTATATTACATTTATCTATGATTTAAATGGCCAAAATTTTGTGATTTATTGTTAAAAAAAAATTAAAAAAATAAGTTGATTAAAAAATGTACTCAGTTGAGAAGAAAAAAGCAATAATAAAAATGTTTTATTCATGTTTTATTATAACATTTGTTATAGTTTTATGTTTAGAAATTATCATATATTATTATTAGGAATAAAGATCACAGTAACAGTATATTGGAATTCATTGAATTGTTGTATAACTTAACTTAACATGGAATTAAATTTTAGTGAATTAGAATATCTTACGTTAATTAAAGATCCGGTAGTAGCAGGAAAAGGTTCGCGCTATTGCCTGAATACAACATTATGCGATTTTTCGTCAACAGTACATTTCATTATATTGATCGATTTGTAAACAATATAATTTATTGTTCACAAAGTAATAATGTTCATTAGTAGTAGTATTTAGTAAAATTCATTGTTTATAATTTAATCATAAAATAAAAAAATTGACAATTCAAATTGTCAAACATCTGACATAAATATGATAAAACACAAACGTCCTAATATATATTCTTGCATTACGTGTGGCCTAACTTTTAGGGGTGGCCTGAAAAATGTATTATATTTTTGCAAAATTTTTAAGTACATTTGAGTCGTAGAACGGTTTTAACATTTGTTTTTAATTCAGATTTTAGTCCTCTACAAATAGTTTTTTATGACTTTTGATCTAAAATAATTAGGGAAGCAGCAATTCAACAATTTAAAATTTCTCATTGAGTTTCCTATGGTCCGTTTGACGATTCACCACCCGGTATATATATATATATTATATATATAATATATATATATATATATATATATATATATAAAATATATATATATATATATATATAAATATATATATATATTATATATATATATATATATATATATAATATATACAAACAACACAGTTTATTAGGGTTGCAGTCAGAATATTGGCCGGGATGTTAAAAAAACACTCTTTTGACTTTTTGTCGAGCTTTCGGAATGGTTTTATTCCTTTTTCAAGACACTGTAATAAGACAAATATGTAAATATTTAAAAAATATCACAATTCTTCAGTGTAACTTACTAGTCGTTGAGATTATTTATATAAGCATTGACACTCAACATTTATAACACACATTAAAATATACAATTATGGACAGAATACATTATAAAACTTTTAAAATTTATTGTAAAAATAGTAAAACTTAGTTGATGGCATGTTTTACTGGTGTGTGTATTAACTCATACAGAGAATGGAAAGTAAAATCACTGTAAATTAATATGTAATTAGATGTAATTGATGTTATCTTTCTTTTCAAGAAATACTAGGTGACTATACTTTTTAAACCTGTCTTATTACAGTGTCTTGAAAAAGGAATAAAACCATTCCGAAAGCTCGACAAACAGTCAAAAGAATGTTTTTTAAACATCCCGGCCAATATTCTGACTGCAACCCTAATAAACTGTGTTGTTTGTTTATATCGACAGTCACTAATATCCAGTATTCCTTATATATATATATATATATATATATATATATATATATATATATATTATATATATATATATATATATAATGCTCGACGTTTCGGCTCCCATTTTGGAGCCATTAACAAGAGGGATACGGTTCGGTTCGAGTTCGGGGTCTCAATCTGCCTGCTCCCCTCACTCGAAACGTACCAGTTTCGTATTCTGGCTGATATATCTAGATACCTATTCCAGTTTGCAATCCACAGAAGACGGCTTTCATTCTGAAAACTTACCAGTATATATCTTTTTTTTTTTTTTTTCTTTAATAATACTTTAGAGTTGTTCCTTAGTTTTTTAGTTATTGTAAGTTTCCGGTGTTTGTTAATTTGGATAGCTATCCCGTGTTTTAAAAGGAATTAGGGAAGGTACTTCTAGGGAAATAAAAATGTACTCCATTAGAAACAGAAATCGATCTGTTCGAGAGTTTTGTCTAATATATTACTATCATTAACGATTTAGTAGTGGAAACACTTAGTAGGAGGGTAAGTCGCATACGTCATCGCCGATAATAAAATGTTCCATTCATAAGTTTACTAATATTTGTATCAGGTCAGTTTTTATTTGGTTTTTTGTAAAAGTATTTTGCACTTTCATGCAGTGTGTGCACAAAACTGCTAATTACATGTATATAATGTTTATGCATCTCCTTCTATTATACTTAATATAACAGGCCCTAATTACAATTTTAAATTATCTTTCATTAATAGCAAATTCTTTTTAGATTGAATTTAAGGAGAGGCGACGAAGGTGAATTCATGGAACGTCCCCCATCAACAACATACAGCAAAAGACACGAAACTGAGTCTCGAAAATTATGCGGATGCCTTCCATGCAGCGATGAGGTAAATATTAGACTGTATTTTATATATAAATATATCTAAAATAATAAAAAAAATAGCTTACCTATTTTATCTAGGCTAGAAAAAAATCCGTACACGAGAATCCATACACCGAGAATCTGTACAGGAGAAAATTAACTATCGAAATGGGTTATATATAAATATATATATATATATATATATATATATATATATATATATATATATATATATATATATATATATATATGTGTGTGTGTGTGTGTGTGTGTGTGTGTGTGTGTAATCTCTTGCGCCACATATTTGGCTTTTCAATTTATCAAATCTTTTGCTGAAATATGTAAACTTTTGCAAATTTCGTAAAGCTGCTCAAAAGACAGAAAACGATATTATTAAAGTAGATGTCACTTTTGTCGCTATCAACTTGAAGTGTGAAATAAGCAGGATACATTGGCTGGCCGGTCTGTGTGTGATATTGTATCAGCCCGAGTCTCTGACGACGAAGGTAGGCAGAAATAACGTTATAAGACCCTATTGATACCGATTCATACATGGATGGTTTGACGAACTGTATTATTACGCTATATATTTAATTTTTCAATTGATGTCCATTCAATTCATATAATATATACATAAGATCACGAGGAAGATCCCCAACAAGATGGATCGATCAAATTATAGGCATATGCAAAAGACCTATGCATGAGTTAAAAGAAATGACCGTAAACAGAGATCTTTAGAGGCGGACAATACACGACATCACGATGACCACTACACTCTCTCTGGGGGGTCAGAATTGAAGATACATATAATTTAACTTCTAGCAAATTTTGCGCGTCAGCTTCAACAGACACTTCATCCTTCCACCTTTACCGTGGCCTTCCTTTTGGTCTTGCGCCCTGCATTTTACTATCTAGGGCTCTTTTCGGCCATCTTTCGGTTTCCATTAATACTATATGACCAGCCCATCGAAGTCTTTGAAGTTTGATGAATTCTGAGATCGGTGTCTCTTTGAACAGTTGGTGGAGTTCATCGTTATACCTGGATCTCCATTCTCCGTTTACGTTAATAGGTCTAAATATCTTCCTTCTCTTTTTTCAAATACTTCCAGCTTTCTTTTGTGTTTTCTGTTATCACCCATGTCTCACATCCGTAACATACTATTATTCTGATAATAGTTTTTTAGACCCTGACTTTAGATATCCAGTGTGTTTTTGGAGCGGAGCACATGGGCGAGCGAAAAATAAGTGTCGTTTCACTTTATTATTCCTTTTTGAATTTCTGGTTCTTCTATTCTATCCGTGCTTAATGCAACTCTTAAATATGTGAAACTTTCTACAGATTCAATATCGTCCTCTAGGGAAAAAGTCGGTGCTTGGAAAAGAAGAACAAGCGTTGAACTATATGACTTACACCGATAATCCAACAACTTGGGTTGCAATTTGGATTATTAGTGGCAATTGTATTAATGTAAGAAGAAATTTTACAAAATAGAGAAAATGGAACAACACATTAATAAAGAATATCCTGATCCAGTCATATTTCTGTAATCGCATAAATCGCGATTACAGAAATATGACAATGCCATGCATAAAACAGTTACCAGAAAGGCTTTGGCAAAGAAATATATTATTGCAATAACATTTAAAACAACTAATGTATTAAAATCGCTTTTGTCCAAGATTAATTCTACTGGTATCTAGCGATATACCTTTGATATACCTATTTCTGCATATTATTCTAAAATTTTAGCTTATCATTTTATTTCCGGATGTTTTATTTGTTTGTCTGTATAATATCCTGACTTGCTTACACTATAACGGTTCTTTTACACTTCTAATATTAGACTTTGTTCAAATAGTTTATCATCATCATCATCATCATTAGCCATTTTGCGTCCACTGCTGAACATAGGCCTCCCGTAAATAATTCCATTGCATCCGATCTTGAGCAACTTGAATCCAGTTAGACTGGATGCGCTTTAAATCGTCCGACCACCTTGTTGGAGGACGTCCTCGACTACGATAAGCATCGTGTCTAGGCCTCCACTCTAAAATTTTCTTTGTCCATCTTCCATCTCTGACCCTAGCAACATGTCCTGCCCAGTTCCATTTCAGGGTTGTAATTCTTTCAACTGCGTCCGTCACACCAGTTTTTCTCCTTACTATCTGACTCGAAACTCTGTCCCTGAGTGATACGCCCAACATTGACCTCTCCATCGCTCTCTGTGCCACTTGTATCTTATTAATTACTTTTCTGGTAAGTGTCAATGTTTCTGCTCCATATGTCAGAACTGGAAGTACACACTGATCAAAAACTTTTCTCTTCAAGCACATGGGAATAGCTGATTTAAAGACTTCCCTCAGTTTTCCGTAAGCTGCCCATGCCAGTCCTATTCTCCTTTTTAACTCTGTTGTTTGATTGTCTCTTCCCAATTTAATCTCGTGGCCCAGATACTTATAGGAATACACTTGTTCAATTTGCGTGCCATTAGTGGAAATGTTTTTTGCCAGTACCAGGTTGGTCATGTATTGTGTTTTGGAAAAATTAATTTTAAGGCCAACTCGTGCACAAGAGCTCTGAAGGTCTTGAAGAAGTTGGCATGCATGATCTACCTGATCTGCAATAAGGACTATGTCGTCTGCAAACCTCAAGTTGTTCAAAAATTCCCCATTTATATTTAATCCAATATTTTCCCAATTATTTTTTCTCATAGCACTCTGTAATAGGGCGGTGAATAGTTTAGGAGAGATAGTGTCTCCTTGCCTAATACCTTTCTCCAAGGGAAATGTGTCTGTGTCACCATAGTACATTTTTACAGCAGCTGTTGCGCTATCATATATATTTCGAAGAAGAGTTGTGTACCTATGGTCAATACTGCACTCTGTAAGAGCTCTTAACATGGAGCTATGCTGGACTGAGTCAAATGCTTTCTCAAAGTCTACAAATATTAATATCAATGGCTTGTTGTATTCTATAACTTTCTCTATCAAGGATTTTATTACTTGTAGGTGGTCATTTGTTCCAAAGCCACTCCTAAATCCGGCCTGCTCTAGAGGTTGATGAAAATCTAGCTTAGGTCCCAGTCTGTTAGTAATTATTCTCATAAAGAGTTTATATAAATGAGATAATAAGTTGATAGGTCTGTAGTTGCCAATTTCTGTTACATCTCCTTTTTTATGCAATATTATCATAATGGCATTATTCCATTTTTCTGGCGTATTTCCTTCAAAGAGGCAGGCATTATAAAGGGTTTTTAAAGCCTTTATGACGCATTCGCCTCCTAGTTTTATCATTTCACTTACAATGCCATCTTCTCCAGGTGTTTTGTTGTTCTTCATACCTTTTAATGCTGACTTAATTTCCTCTTCGGTTATATCTGGAAGTTCCTCTGACCCTTGATTTAGTATTGCTGGAATTTCTACTTCGGGAATGTGATCATCTCGACTATATAATGTTCTATAGTACTCTTCGATGATTTTTAGTATCTCTTGTTGTTCATGTATGACATGTCCTTGATTATTTTTTAACTTATAAATATTCCTCGTTCCTGTTTTCAACTTTCGTTTTAGAACTTTTAGGCTTTTGTTTTGTTCTACGGTATCAGTTATTTCCTTAGTGTTAAAGTTCCTTATGTCTTTCCTAATGGCTTTTGAAATGGTTTTGTTTAAATTCCTTAGCTCTGCAATGTTCGTTGTATGCTTTTCTTTCATTTCCCTTCTTTTTTGCATTAGGTTTCTTGTGTCTTCTGTGAGTTTTTCATTTTTTGTTGATTGCTTGGCTTGGCACTTCTTCTGTGACTTCTTCAGGACTTCTACCAATTTTTCGTTAAGCTGTTCAATACTGGTTTCATCTTGCAGGTCTTTCTGTAGATTACTCTCTATTTCTTCCTGGTATGCCCTGGTGTTAGTAATCGCAGTGAATGTAACATTATTAGTCCTTGTTACCATATGTCTTCTTTCCTTCTGTATATTTAAGACTATCTTCGCCCTAACCATTCTATGGTCACTTCCAGTTGAAAATTGATTTAATACAGTTACGTCTTGAACAGCGTCTTTTTTGTTAGTAAATATAAAATCAATTTCGTTCTTGTTTAAACCATTTGGTGATTGCCAAGTCCACTTTCTTTGGTCGCTTTTTTTAAAGTGCGTATTCATGACATATAGCCTGTGTTGCAGAAGAAATTCTATAAGAGTTTGACCCCTTTCGTTTCTATCGCCATATCCGTGAGGTCCAATTACAAACTCCGAATCATCTTGCTTGTGGCCTATTTTGGCGTTTAGGTCTCCCATCAGTATAGTAAAGTTGGTGTTTGTCTCTTGTATGGCAGTGTATGGCACTGCCATACAAATAGTTTATAATAACAAATAAATAATAACATATATTTGTTTATTTTCTGATGCTACAATGGATAATTATAAGATGGATAAGAATGTATAAAAAAACCGTCCTATATGTCCCTGAACCATAATCGTATGACATTATTTTTTGTTCGACGCTTCTGATATTCCATTCCATTGTATTGATAAATTAGACAAGGGATTTGGGAAAGTCAATATAATTTTTCACAAATAAGTATCTCTTGGAATGATTTGTTTTTTTTTATCTTCAGGTTCGAGAAATGTTGGACTGTGCTCTGTTGCGCGATGTTATTTTTCTAATATTCTCCCTCAGCAATTTATTAACCAGCATCGGATTCAATGTGCCCTACGTGTACCTGGTACCCAAAGCGAAGGATTTGGGAATGACTATAGAAAAAGCGGGCATGCTGATCTCGATCATCGGTGGAGCGAACACTGTTGGGAGGATAGTTCTGGGGTATATTTCGGATAAGCCTTGGATCAACAGACTGTACATATACAACTGGAGCCTTACGATTTGTGGGGCCGGTAAGTACTAATAACCTTTTAATCTTTTAATTTACTCTGTGTTATTTCCCTGTATGTTTTTAATATTATTGTATAGATCTAAAATTTGTTGCTGAAAGGCATATTGCTCTGTACTTTTCTAGATTGGTATAGTTCCCATATTTTATATAATGGTAATAAAATTGTTTTCTCTTATTGTCGTATTTTCGAAATTTAATTTTTGCTAATCAGTAGCTGTAATAAAAAATATATATTGTGGTTTAACACGTTACGTCCGTTCATTTTTAATAATTTGTAGTTAAGCATTTTTGGAATGTTGTCTACGCTATAAATAAATAATTTTCGGACAAGTATTTTTTGGCCCACAATGTTGAATCGTTTTATCTTATCTCGGGACATGTTCATATCTAATCTGGTAGAGTGTTCTATATCATCATCAACAACTATTCCATCCATCGGGGGATGTAAGCTTCCGTTGGTGTTTCCATTCATTCCTTTTCGTTGTTTTTTTTTTGCATTCAATGGTGACTAACTATTCGCTTTATGGCATCAGTCCACTTGGTTTGAGGTCTGCCTCTACTTCTCTTATTTGCTCCTGGTCCCCATTCAACAATGCTTCATCCAACGGTTATTTTCCGTTACTTTTGATCGTCTTCTTATTTCTTCATTGGATATACGATTGCAGTGAGCTTAATGTTGAGCATTATCCGATCCACAGCTCTCTGAATCATTTAAAGTTTGTGGACTATGTTGTTGTTAAAAGTCCATGTTTCAGTTCTATATGTCATTACCGAAAATACATACTGATCGGCAGATTTTACCTTTAAAGTATTTGGTAAATTTTATTGAAAGACTGTTTGTAATCTGCCAAGTGCTGTCCATGCTAAGGAACATCTTCTATTTAAATCAGTTTTAGGTTAAGCTTTAATAATTTGATTTCTTTTCCTAAATATATATACCTTTTCTACATTATTTTCCAGAGTTATATATATTCTCAGTTATATCTAAAGATCCGTTTGTTAGATATTTAGTTTTTTCTAGATTTATTTCCTATTTCGTTTGATTTTGTATTTGAGTGTAATAGCATTTCCTGCAATTTTTCTCTGTGTTTTACTAATAACTCAACATCATCGGCAAATTTTAGTTGGTTCAAGTTTTCGCCGCGTATCGTCACTCCTTTCCCATTTTCCCATTCAAAAATTCGAAACAAATCTTCTGGGGCTAAAGTAAAAACTTGGGTGAGATAGAATCTCCTTGTCTAAACCCTCTCTGCAGTTTTATAGTTTCTGGTTTTTCTTTTGTTTTGCTATATTGCATTCTTATATTATAATATACTTAATGATTTTTGTATATCGTTCATCAATTATATTGTTGTTTAGGGCATTGAGGATTGCTCAAATTTCTATGGAGCCAAATCTTTTATGGAGCCTTCTCGTAATCTACCATAGCTATCCAAAGTGATATTATATTCATTTGACTTTTAGATTAGTGTCCTTATTACTTGTATCTATTCTTCTTCTTAGTCGTTAACCTGATGCAGGTATCGTGATATCATGAAGCTGTTAGGTAATTTTTCCAATGTTGCTCCACGTTTTTCTATCTTCTGCCAATCTAGCACATTCTGACAATGGAGCGCCAATGGTAGCAACAATATGGTCCGTGTATCGTGTAGGAGATCTACCTCTACTTCTTTTGCCTTCTACTTTTCCCTGGATGGTAAGTTTTTCAAGACCATTTCTTCGAAGCACATGTCCAAAATAGCTTATTATCTGTTCTGTTATTTGTGTTCTTAGTGTTTTCTTTATGTTTAGCTGGACCAGTATGAATTCATTTGTTCTTCGGGCCACCCATGGTATTCTCAGCATTCGTCTCCAGCAGTACATCTCAAATACATCTATGTTCTTTTTGTCTTTCTCAGTAAGGGTCCAGCATTCCGATGCATAAGTAAAAACTGGAAAAACTAGACTTTTTTGTTAATTTTGCCATAGCGCTTTTTGCGATTGCTGACCGCCGCTTTATTTCTTCAGTACAGCCTCCTTTGTTGGTTATTAATGAGCCCAGATACACAAATTTATCTACAACAGCGATATTGTTTATCCTAACCACATGATTTTGATTGTTGTTAGCTCTGTCAATTATCATGATTCTCGTTTTATCCCTGTTTATTTTAAGGCCCATCGTTAAGCTTACGTCTTCTATCCATTGTAGCAGGTGAATCAATTCAGTTTCAGAACTAGCGAGGATAGTAGTATCATCTGCATATCTCAAGTTGCAAATCTTCTTCCCGCCAATGGTGATGCCACCGTTCCAGTCCTCAGTAGCTTTCCGCATTATCCGTTCACCATAGATGTTAAATAAAATTGGGCTTAGTATGCAGCCTTGTCTCACGCCCTTTGTGACCCTGAAACTGTCAGTTAGTTCCCCATTTATTCTAACTCTGGCATAATTGTTATTGTACAGGCTTTTAATTGGCAGTATCAGATGATTAGGGACTCCCATTTCAGACAAAACCTGCCACATTTTACTCCAGTTGACCAAATCGAAAGCTTTACTATAATCTATGAAGCACAAATATGTTGTGATGTTGAATTCTCTGGATTTTTCTACAATCTGCCGTACGTTTAAAATTTGTTCTCTAGCACCACGTCCTGGGACGAAACCTGCTTGTTCCTCCGCAATGTTAGGTAGTAAAAAGGGCTTTATCCTCTCGAGAATTATGTGTAAGAGTATCTTACTGCAATGCGCAATTAGAGCAATTGTGTGATAGTTGCTACATAAATCTTTCGCTCCCTTTTTATGTATGGGAATATATAGTGATTGTGTCCAGTCCTCAGGCCATTTACCTGTCTCCCACACTCTTTGACAAATTTGATGTATTATATCCACTTCAACGTCATCTAGGGCCCAAATCATTTCAATAGGTATGTTATCTGGACCGGCAGCTTTTTGACTTTTTTGCCTCATAATTGCTGCTTCAACTTTACTTTTGAGTACGTCAGGTTCCGTCGCAAAACTGGCATCTTCTTGTTGTGATGGGGCGTCTGAGCTTTCCTCCATCATCAGTCGTCCACAGTATTCTTTCCATCTGTGTAAAATATCTTTTTTAGAAGTGAGTAGAGTTCCGTTATCATCTTTGATAGCAGGGTAGTTTGGTGTAAAGGAACGTGTTATCTGCTTTATTTTTTTTAAACATGTCTCTGGTCTCAGTTTTGGTTTTATGCCCTTCTATTTCCATGCAGATTTTGTTCAAGTGTATGTTCTTGTCCTTTTTGCAGAGTCGTTTTATTTGGCCGTTCAGCGCTTTATAGGCCTCTTTATCACTTTCACTGTTCAGTCATGTGGCTTTTAAGCACTTCCTCTCCTGTATTTTAGTCCACGTGAAGTCCGTTATCCATTGTTTCCTTCTTTCTTCTCTATCACTCTTAATATTTTTCGCAGCATTATTCAATATGGATTTTGTTTTTGTCCATATGCTGTTTGAGGACTCGTCTGGATTTAATGATTGTTTGAAGTCACATAGCTTTTGCATTGCGGCTTTTTTGTACGGATCGTTATATCTTAGATGCCATTTAGTTGTTGTATTTCCTGTTTTTGGACTGTTTCTTAACTTCATGCGGAATTCAGCTGATAAAAATTGATGGTCGCTATTACAATCTTTTCCTGGATAGGTCTTAACATCCTTAACAGCGCTCCTCCAACGGGTTTTTACCAGTATAAAATCTATCTGATTTCTGTATCTATTTCCTGGTGATATCCAAGTGTATAGTCGTCTTGGGTGATGTTGAAAGCCTGTATTAGTAACAAACAGGTTGTTGTCTATACAAAAGTGTAGCAAGCGTTCTCCTCTGTCATTTCTTTGGCCAAGTTCATATAATCCGACGGCCTCTCGCAAGTAATGATCTTCTGTAGTTACACCAATTTTAGCGTTGAAATCGCCTACGACTGCTGTGATTTCTCTATTTGGAAGCTTCCTAAGCGTCTGCTCCAACGTACTATAAAATGTTTCGATTTCTTCATCGTGAGCTTCGCTTGTTGGGGCATATGTTTGTACCACATTAAGATTAACTGGACTGGCATTCATTCTGACAACAATTATCCGATCGCTGACGGTTATGTATTCTTTTACGGAGGTTTTAAAGGCATTATTTACTATCACTTGTATCTATAGTGCATGCCCTTTTCTTAATCTTGCCTGTTCCGGAGGCTGATAATTATTCAGTTTGTTTGTTATTCGCAATGTAATTATCTTCACAAACAACTTGTACAAGACTTATAACAGTCTAATGGATCTATAGTTTTGTAATTTATATTTATTTCTCCTTTTTAAATAACAGTATTATAAGAGCTATTTATCCAATCTGTGGGTACTTTACTTATTTCTATACATTTATTAAAAATAAATTTTAGCATTTTTTTGGTGTGTTGTCATCAATTCTTTATCCTTTCTGTTTTGTCTTCACGTAGAGCTATTTTATTTCACATAGTGCTCATTGCGTTTTTTATTTCTTTTCTATTATATCTGGTATATCTTCAGATCCAACATTTTTTACTATTTTTCGGTAATTGTCCTTGTTTACTTGATGGTGGTTTTGTTTTTAACTAGTATAGTTGGTGATAGTTTTCTATCATAATGGTTAGTTATCTTTTGAATTTCTTCGTTTTCATCATTAATTAGTTTTGTAATTAGATTTCTATCTTTGCTTAAAAAGCTTACTTCTTCTTCTTCTTCTTCCTCTTTATAAGCAATCCTGCTTGTTCATTGGCGGATTAATGGAAGGTTGTAACTCCGTCTTTTGCGCGGTCGTCCGATACTTCTTCCGCCGATTTTCCACTTATCTCTTGTTATTTGACGACACGGGTCTCCTCCATTCTTCTTATGTGGTTATTCCATTCTTTTTTTTTCTATTTTTTGTCCATTCATTTATACACTGTACGTTACATTTGTCGGTCAGATAGCCAAGCGGGCTGGGCGGCCGGTTCCCATTCGCTTTACTGCGAGTGGTTCAGTGGATGTGGGTTCGATTCCCAGCTCGGTGTATAGAAAACAAAAAGGTTAACGCAGCAGTTTAAAATTCTAGATGAATCTGCGGCTTAGACTATATGCTGGTGTCTGATCGGCCTGTGGTGGAGCAATACGGCAAGAGATAAGGCCTTGCGGCTCGGTGATACTCCTCCATAGATCCCTGCCGGAAGGGCGTGTTGCCTAAATACCGGTGTATATATACGTTACATTTTCTTCTAATGTCTTCACTTCTCTTCCGATCTCTCAGCGTATTTCCTCTAATTCTTCTCAGTACTCTCATCTCTGCCATTTCCAGTAACATTTGCGTTGTGGATGTGTCGGGTCTTGTTTCTGAGGCATATGTCATTATTGGTCTTATACTGGCTATATAAATTCTTGACTTCATCTCAGTGTTAATGTGTCTGTTTCGCCATATAGTGTTACTAAGGCATCCTGCAACTCTATTTGCTTTTTCCAGGTCTCCATAACTAGACAGTGTAATTTCCACGTATTTTATTTCCATAACTTGTTCAATACTGATGCCATCAATTTCTATTAAAAAAAAAACTTACTATTTTTAACTATTATTTTTAGGCTGGTCACATGTTTATATTGTAACCCTAGGTTCTTTGTATTATTTCAGCTACTTTTATTAGTGCCTTCTGTAGTAGTTTTTACACTTTGGCCATATACAGCGCCGTTTTCGGTTTCACTGCCGGCGCCTACGTCGGACTCACATCCGTTATTCTCGTCGACCTTCTGGGTCTGGAAAGCCTTACCAACGCCTTCGGTCTGCTACTGCTCTTCCAAGGGATTGCCTCTTTGATAGGACCACCCATAGCCGGTAAGTTAATGTAAAATATATTTTTAATAAATAAGTAAAATTTCGACTTCATTTTAAATCAGAAAAATAATATCATGGAATATTCCATGATACTGATATTGATCCATCCATCCAAATCCTACATTTGTTAAAATACCAAATTTCTACGTATGTTATGACATAGTATCAAAGCTGGACTACATCTGTTTTATTGTAGGTATCTTTTCACCTATTTATTTGTCTTTCCCTATTCCCACTTAGACGACCTCATATATATATATATATATATATATATATATATATATATATATATATATATATATATAGTTGGTTTGAGTTTAGTTCTTGAACCTTAATATATATTTTTTAGTGGATTTTCTTGGGCCTAGGGTCATAAAAAAAATTATTTTGTGACATTTTTATATATTTTTTCGATTTTTCGGCAGGAAATCCATGCCTTTTTCAAGAAGTAATATTGACTAAAAAACATTTTATCATAAGATAATACGGTTTAAAAGTGAAACTTTTGACTTACCAAGCATGTAAACATTCGGTGCTAACAAGTATACATAGACGTCACAATTAAAATAATATTAAAAGCATAGGACCGACCCACTAAGTCACTACATGTAAAATGTATTTTAAAATTTAATATGTTGTTTATCGATGTTTGTTTATCGTTTAAACAATCAGTTATTTTAACATCATAGGCGTTCGGAGATTATCTTTTTGTGTGTTCAAATTAAATTCAAATATATCTTATTTAAATTTTTGACATATTTTTTATCATTTATTGCGTTATTATTCTTTTTGATTTGTACTCTACAAGCTCCCTCTTCTTCCTGTTATATTCACTTTTTAGGATCTTGGTTTTGTCAAAATCAAATTTATATTTCTTTTTGTTTTCATGTTTTGTGAGGGTAGGTTTTAAGAAGAAGGAGGGTAGGCCGAAAACCAGGTGGAAGAGGGAGATTGATGATGAGAAAGAGACATAGAACAAATCTAAAATTGGAAGGGCAAAGCAGAAGACAGGAAAGAATGGAAAAGAATAGTAATTTATATATATATATATATATATATATAATATATATATATATATATATATATATATATATATATATATGTATATATATATATATATATATATATATATATATATATATATATATATATATATATAATGTTAATTAATGGGAGACGTATAATATAGATAAGAAAAATTAGTGGCAAAACTCAGAACTCAGTAGAAAAGAAAATATATGAAGGTGGAAGGGCAACCATAAGTACGTTTTCCTGACTATTTGGTCGTCATCAGTACGGTGTAGGAAAGTTAGAAAAGGAACAAATTAACTTGAGAAAGGATCTACAGGAGCCATACGACCAATAGTGGCAGGACTTTTAGAAGTCCCTGCATTCCAGCCTGGTGACTCTGCAATACAGCTACAGCGGAAGTTACAGCTCAGCTGTTTGGCATATAGGAATGCAAATAAAACTCAAATCGAACATGCCAAATATATCGGTATGCATTTAGACCGCTATCTAACTGCTATTAACTCATTGGCCACAAATCAAAATTGTCCTTAGAGGTAACAATTCCAAGATAAGGTGCTGTGTACCGTAGTCAATGCCAAAGAAGTGATTAGGGTCGATAACTCTCTAAAATCCGTCAAAGAAGCCATACAACGTTTTGGTGCAAAATACTGTGAAGGAGTGCTTGTGCATCCTAATGTGCTTTTTTATGGGAAGGGGGTAGTAAATAGCCGTAGCACCTATGATACTGCTGTACGGTGGAAATTGAAGAAATATAATTGTAATATTGATAATTTGTAAAAAAGTTTCAAGGTACCAAGGTGGTTATAATATACAAGATAACGATCAATGGTAGGCCATATACCTTGTAACGATAATATTTTGCCTACCACAGGGGGCATTAATACGGGAGATAGAAAATTGGGGGAAGAAACTAATGGGGGTGGAGATAGGGCAAGCAAAATAATCGCTACTGATGCGAACGGCACTCAGGGTTTCGTAGGAGAGCTGGGGTCGTGGATAAGTGAAAGATAAGGGGAGTGGAATGGGGCAACTACAAAGAAATGAAATAAAGGGGTCATCAATCTCTTGGGATAAACAAAATAAAAATAAACAAGAAACACCTCAAGGAATTTAATATAGGGCGCCACTTGAGGTGCCTAATCATGCCTATTACAACCACTAGTTGTAACTAGGAAATAATTAAAAAACAAATCAAAACATAAAAAAAACATATCTTTTTCAAATAAACTCAAAAAGGGTTGGCTCAAAAAAATAAATAAAAAGTTAAGACAACAAAATTTAACCTTTATTTATGTGTCACCACAAACAGTTACATGGAGAAATACAGATAAATACATTCAAAAACTTACATGTGTCATCCAATAACAAACTACATTGCTACAAAACTTACAAAATTGCATAGAGGTTAACCTTTAAAAAAAAAACAAATCAACATCAAAAATACTAAAACGAGCTGTCATAACATTAAATTTCAAAAAAAAACTAAACACAAATTGACAGCTTTACTCAAAACCTAAAATTTACAATTTTAAATGTGAACGAAAGCAATTATTATTTAAAAAAAAAATGTCTGTCTTTAGTTTAAAATTTGAACAAAATGTTACCTTAATTCACATGATCACACTTAATTTTTTGAAACCATAACTGGAACCTGGAATTGAGGGCTGCACTCTCTCTGCATCACGAAAACCTCCATCTTGAAACTGCCAAAAGCCTTTAATAGAAACAGGAACAAAAAAAAACGAGGATGTCCTCCAATCCTCACTCAAAACATTAATAATTTAAGCATTTACTGCTACAAAACCAATAACAAACTGCTACATATTCTTCATAATAAAAGATGAAAACAGAACACTTTACAAATTCGACGTGAATTTGGACATAACGTTGAACCGCTATTCAAAGCTGCTACAACGAGAGTGACGAAATTATCTATTAAAATTGAACGCATACATACAAACGCTGACATAACAAGACACCACGAAACGACGTACATATCCTTTTGCGACGCATTAACTTAAAAAGAAATTGCCGAAGTAAAATAAACAACTCTAAAATGGTTTATTTTAACTTGGCCGACCTAAGAAAGAAATGAAAAGATATTTGGGTTTAAATACGTACGAAATATTTTTAGATCTATCAAAAATATACAAGGTGATTTTAATATTTCGTATACGAGGGGACTTCAATATACTTCAAAGAATCAATGAAATTGAAAATGCTACAATACCCCCACGTAAGAGCGAAAACTGGACTAACAGGAAAAGTTTTCGTTTAGGGCGAACAACAATCAGGTTGGAACAACAGTAGCATTTTCCAACTACTGCAACAATACATAATGACTTCAATAACTCAAACAGAACAAAAAACAACAAACAAAAATCATAACCAAAACTACACATCATAACTGTTTATGGTTCTAACATAATAACATACAAAATAAAACTGGATGCTCGATTTGACGAATCGGCACCAGGCACAGTTAGTTGGCTCTTAAGCACAAGGACACAATGGCAGATTTCTACAAAATGGCTCTAGCCTAATCAAAAACATGGAACAGACCAGTGTTGAAGTTTCTGGAAGCGAAAAGAAAGGTGTTTCCAGCTCAACAAAGGCGGGTGGCCAACAACACAGCTTAGACAAGCTTCGCTATGGTTATCCACATAATAGATAACCAAAACAATATCAAAGAATAACAAACTTGACTATAACAGTCAAGCAATGAATTTTCAACAACTGGTTGAAAATTAAACACAAACAGAAAAAAACAGGATGGCCAATAGTTCCATAGAAATATCCTCAGGAATCGATACAGCAAAAAATTTCCAAGTCAGGAAACTCCCAAAAGGACAAAAGAAGAAATAAATCCAAAACGTTAAAACACAATCTTGGAAAAGAAGAAACAAAGGGGCACATGGCATAACAAGCCATAACTGATACACTCATCAGTTTAGTCTCAAACCAAATACTTCAAAAGAAACAAAAAAAAAATCGTAAGAGTCTTCCAAAGAAAACAAAAAGTTACAACAACACTCCAAAACAAACAAAAACATCATTACAGATCTCCAAGGGAACATAAGAAACACTATAATCTTCAAAAAGAACAAAAAAATCGTTACAGTCCGTCATCAACAATAAAACTTCCAACTGGGTACACAAATCTCAAAAGCAGGGCAAGAAGGGTAAAGAAGAAGAAGAGTATATATATATACACAAGGCAAAAACTAATGACTTATCTTCCTTAAAAGCTCAACAGGTCACCTGGCGGACGAATCCAAAACTCATCGACCTAGCCGTTCCTCTTATGACAACTAATAAGGTCAAAGACACAGTTTGGAAAGGGAATAAAGGGACAACATCAACAAATAAACTTCATCATTTCACGGATAATAATCGAATACAACGTCATACAAATCACAAAGAAACGTTCACTATTCTTCAACAAAACTCGAACAGGATCACAACAATATAAGTCTGGCGAATTCTAAGTGGGTCATTCAATGGTAGTACTAAAAATACTTCAGATCTTTCACGAACATGGTCTCACAATCGATATAAACAATATTTTCACAATAAACGGCGGCCAGGTACTTTCACCGCAGCAAATCAAAACGTCACAATGGACAATGCCAGTATTTGTACCTCCGCTTCCACCAAATCATCAACACTTCATCACAAACACTACAACAAGAAGGAATGCTATTGAGACTCAAATCAATAATCTTACTTCAACACTTAGAAAGGCTTATCCTTTCTAATAATTCACGGAAAGGGGATGCTGCTACGCAGTCTTACACAACAACAGAAAATATCCAAGGATACACAAATCCAGGTCACATGCCTGTACGTCCTATATGATATTTCAACAACACAATACTCAAATCACAAACTAATACATTTCAGACCATCAACATATCTCCACTACAATATCTGACCACACAAAGACACGGAAAGACACTAAACTAACA